ACTCAGCTTGGATTCTTACCATCACAGTCCCTGGCGGCCTTCCACCGCTCAGCCCAGTACCTTGAAGACGTCCTGGCTTCAGCCTGCTGCTTGGAGCGGCAGTGGTCGAGACAGCCAAGAAGGTAGGCCCAGCCGCCCCAGTTTCTAAGTGGCTCCCATCTCACCCTTTTGTGCGGTGCCCCCGTGATGGGCACTCAGGTTGGCTCTGGGCCTCGCTGTCACCAGTGATGCAGGGCCTGTCCTGCTGAGTCCGTGTGTCTAGGTGCCCATGTGTCGGTGTTTCTGCCAGACAGGTTCCCAGAAGTGGACCTCCTGGTTCAAAAGGATACACACATCTGCAGCTTTGAAAGAGTTTAATGGATTCTTCTCAGAGGCTGCACCGATGTGTCTTCCTGCCACAAAAAGTGCTGAGTAACAGCCAACACTGCAGAATACTAAGGAACTTCTTTGTCCTCTGACTTCCGCCGTCGGTCAGCACCCCCGAGGCAGACGGGAAGGAGCCCTGCTGGCACCGTGGTTAAGAATTCAGCAACTAACTGAAAGGTTGCCAGTTTGAACCCAGCAGCCGCTCTGCAGGAGAACGCTGTTGCAGTCGGCTTCTGTAAACCTTTCAGCCTTGCAAACTCTGTGGGAACAGTTCTTTTGTTTGTTTGTTTGTTTACTTTTTTTTTTTTTAATTGTGATTTGGGTGAAGATTTACAGAGCAAATTCACTTTCCATACAGCAGTTCACATATACTTGGTCTCATGTCATTGACCACAGTTTACCACAATGCAGCAGCTCCCCTCCCACTTCCTCCCCATAGTTACCTCCTCCCAGTGTCCATCCCTCCATACTCTTCTGCACCCTGAGCTATCTCCCTGTGCATAAGCAGCCCTTCCTTCTCCCATGATTGTTCTCTCCAGGGCGTGTGTCTACTTGAGGTAAATGTTTAACTCACATGCCTGTACTTTGTTTGCCTGGAAACCACAGGTGTGGGTTCAATTCCAGACCTGAAGGGCAGCTAGGGGCCATAGTCTCAGTGGTTACACCAGGCTCTATTGGACCAGCAAACCTGGTCCCCACCATCGTGGGAACAGTTCTGCTCTGTCCTCCACGGTTGCTATGAGTCAGCATTGACTTGCTGACAGCAGGTTTGATTGGGTGGTGGTTAAGGACCATGACTTTCACTCATGCTGACTGGGGTTCATCCAAGTGCCGTCTCTACCATCACCAACTATTTGACTTAATCTTCACCAACCCTCGGCTTGTCCATCTGTTTAATGGGGCTTGTCATGGACTGAATTGTGTTCCCCAAAACACCTGTGCCTAAGTCCTGGACCCTGCCCTGTAGATGCACTCCGATCGGGGAGACAGAGTCGTCTTCTGTTGTGTTAGTGAGGTTGTACCACAAGAAAGTGGCTGCAAACCTCCTCCCTTATGTGTTGGCATAAACACAGAGGTACACATGCAGACATCATGTGGGGGCCCGCCTGTAAACAAAGGAATGCCAAGGGTCACCAGCAGACACCAGAAATCAGCAGTGAGGTCCTGACTTGGACTTTCAGCCTCCAAGCTGTGAGAAAACAAAGTTGTCCTTCAAAGCCACCCACTGCGGTACTTGTGGGACAGCATCATAAGGTAACTGAGGCCGGACTAATAATACCCAGCGTCTCAGGGCTGTTGTGGGAATTTAGGGAGGAAGTTTGTGGAGAGCACCTGGCGCAAAGATCGCCTAGGTAAGTGGTCGCGCCTGTTTCAAGCCTCATGCTGACGGCAGACATTTTAAAAAGTGAAAGTTCAGAAAAGCACAAGGGAGAAAGCCAGCGCCACTCCCCACCTGCTGCTGTTCCGAGTCTCCCAAGGTTTCCACTTTGACGGGATGCAGCCTCGCCATTTTTCTGTCACTCTGTGTTAGTGGAAAAGATCCTTGAGTTTTCCACCTCTGACAGGTTTCCGCCCTACACAGGTTCCCGCTTTCCCAGGTCGCCTCACACCGGCTAAGTGAGTCAAGGAGAAATACACCATCAAAATAAATATACATGCTGCCTCAAAGGGGTGGCTCGGAGCGGCCGGAGGAGACCCGTTGGGGGGCTTTCCCAGCCTCAGCGCCACTGACATCCAGGACTGGCTCATCTCGCTCACGGGGGCCATCCTCTGCATTGTGGGGTGCTGGGCAGCATCCCTGGTCTCTACTCACCACTTGCCACTGGTGACCCGTCAGTCGTGACAAGCAAAAACGCCTCCAGACATTGCCAAGTGTCCCCACGTCATCTTGGTTGAAAACTGATGCTCGAAGTGAGCCCCCATCGGGGGGCATGTAGGCTGCGGCTGGGAGACTGCAGGGCGGGGAATGCACAGACGACATTCAGGCTCGCAGGAGGAGGGACATCTCCAGAGCTCACCCCACCCCAGAACCCATTACCTGCCATTCTGACTCATGGCAGCTCTGTGTGCTACGCGTCACACTGTTCTGTAGGGTCTTCTTGGCTGTAACCGTCTCAGAAGCAGGTCACCGGGCCTGTCCTCCCTGGTGCTCCTGGGTGGGTTTGAACCACCTGCCTTTAGGTCAGTCCCGAGTGCAAATCACTCGTCCCACCAGGGCCTCCTGCCGGAGAAGCACGCTCGTTTCTCCCAGTGGTCGGGGCTCCACCCAGCGTCCCTCCCCCTCCTCACCCTTCAGGAGGGGTTTTCAGTGTTGCTAATTACAGCCACGGAGAACCGCCACCACATGGTTCGTACAAGCACAGACTCAGCCAAATGGAACAGATCACAGAGACGCGGTGACCTTTGTACCAGGCACTGTTCTCAGATCCAGGCCCGTATTAACCTCATTTGATCACCACATGGGGTCCCTGGGTGGGTGAACAGTCAAAGAACTGGACTCACCGAAGGACTGGGGCTCGAGTCCTCGCAGAGATGCCTCAAAGAAAAGCGTTGGCAAACCACCCCTGGAAGCCCTGTGGGACGCAGTTCTACCCTGACATCATGGAGGCACGGTGAGTCGGAACTGACAGTAAGTGGTCTGGTTTGGGTTTGAATCGTAACAGTCAGTCTTTCACGAGACTCGCCATGACCCTAGTCTTGTTCTAAATATCTCACGTGGTCTTTACGCCACCATGTTATCCACTTGACAGGGGAAGAAACTGAAGCTTACAAACCAAGGAATTTGTCCAGAGTCGGACAGTCAAGACACAGCTGTTTGTCCAAAAATATGCTTCAGCCTCACTTCCCTCCCTTGAACTGACTCGTACGCTCTTGTTTGTTGGGTGCTGTTGGTTGTGACCCATGGTGACCCCATGTGACAGGCAGTTTCCCAGGCCACAGTCTTTATGGGAGCAGATCCCGTTCGATATGCACAGTGGTTTACATTTGAATTCACTCTTGTTATGGGTCGAATTGTGCCCCTCAAACATACGTGTTTAAGTCCTATACGGGTCATCCTGGTCGGAAATAGGGTTTTCTTTGTTATGTAAATTAGGTCAAGTCCCCAGTAGGGAAGACCCTAACCTGTACAGTCCTGAAGTATGAAAAGACCACAGTAGTCACGGAGACACACAGAGGGAACACACACCAGGGGACTCCAAGGCATTCCTGGAGCTATGGGCGGAAGACCTCCTCTTAGAGCCACACGCTGAATTCAGATCTCTAGCCCCCTGAACTGTGAGACGACACATTTCTGTTCCTTCAAGCCCCCACTTGTGGTATTTCTGTTACCATAGTGCCAGGAAGACAGCTCTCTATGCATCTGTGCAAGAGGGTATTTCACGTGCAAAAACCTGGAATTCTGTGATTCAGAAAAGGATAGGGCAATGCCACTGAACTGTGCACTTAGAAATTGTTGCTTATGTTTGTTTTATATGTGTGTGTGTGTGTGTGTGTGTATTTTTACCACGATTGAATTAAAATATATATATATATATATTCTGGCTTCTCTTGAAAAATATCAGAGAATCTGATCACACTTGGTCTACCCTGACACGTGGCAACAGTTGACAAGGGCTCAGAGCAGTTTCCTGGTTTGGACAGACATTGCCTGCCGTTTTGCCACAGTCCACACCATTCCCTGTTGTACCACACTTGGCTTGATTCACGAGTGCATTATCTACCCACCTCTACTAACGGAAAGACTGCTGGCTTGAATCCACCCAGAGGCACCTCGGAAGACAGGCCTGATGACCTACCTCTGAAAGGTCACAGTCACTGAAAACCCTATGGAGCAAAGTGCTTCTCTGACACATATGGGGTCGCGTGAGTCAGAGTAGACTCAATGGTAATTTGTTCTTTAACCTGAGCTCTGGTGGCGCAGTGCTGAAAGCATTTGACTGCTGACCAGAAGGCTATCAGCTCAAACCCACCAGCCACTCCTCAGAAGGAAGTCTGGGCAATCTACTTCCATAGTGCAACTTCCTTGGAAACTCAAGGAGGGGTCACTATGAGTTTGAGGTCCCTGAACATATTCGAGTTTGAGGACCTTGTAGGTATCTGAGTCTGAGATCTCTGTAGGTTTTTGAAGAGCCCTGGAGGCATGGTGATGAAAGCACTTGGCTGCTGAACGAAAGGCCAGTGGTTTGAACCCACCAGCCACTTCTCAGGAGGAAGATGTGGCAGTCTGCTTCCGTCATGAATGAGCCTTGGAAACTCTATGGGGTGGTTCTTCTCTGTTCTACAAGGTCAGTGTGAGTCAGAATCAACTTGAGGACAGTGGGTGTGGTTTGGCTTTGGTTCCATGAAGACTGACAGCCTTGGAAACCCCGCGATGCGGTTCTCCTCTGTCCTCTAGGGGAGCAGTGAGTCGGAATAGACTCCACGGCAGTGGGTGTGGTTTCGGGCAGGCAGTGGAGTTTGAGGCCCCCCCAGAAAGCAAACAATCCATCTGTGTTTCGTGAACAATGGGCCTTCGCTCCACTTTGTGCATCTCCTCTTCTTTCCCTCCAGGTCCCTGTCTCGGCATCGGACTGTCCTCATGCCCTCCTCCCTGAGCAGCGCCTGCAGGTCAGGAGCATCTCCTAGGACAGGACATGACCAGCCTCACGGCAGCATCTGTCTTCATCCTCCGGGGCTTCTCGACCATCCCTGAGCTACAGCTCCTCAGCGTGGCCGCCTTCTTTCTCATTTACGTCGCTGCGGTGTTGGGCAACGTCTCCATCATGGCTGCCGTGACACTGGACGCCCGGCTGCACACGCCCATGTACTTCTTCCTCAAACACCTCTCCCTGGTGGACATCTGCTCCATGTCCTCCACTCTGCCCTGGGCCCCGATGGCTGCCATGGTGGGCTCTGGGGAGCTTTCCTCCCTTGCCTGTGCATCTCAACTCTTCGCCTTTGTCTGCCTGGGGTCCACAGAGTGCTTCCTCATCGCCTCCACGGCTCATGCCCGCTGCCTGGCCATCTAGACCCCAGGTGTGCAGGGCAGCCATGAGCCCCCAGGCCTGCACCTCGCTGGTGGCAGTGGCCTGGGGCAGTGGCCTTCTCTTCTCCACCTTCCACGCGGCCAACACATTCTCCCTGCCCTTCTGCGGCCCCAATGTGATCGACCACTTCTTCTGTGACATCCCCCCGCTCTTGCACCTGGCCTGTGCCAACACAGATTCTCACGAGGCTACTGGACTTGCCGTCAGCGGCTGTGTCATCATGAGTTGTTTTGTCCTCACCATCCTCTCCTATGTCCGCATCTTGGCCACTGTGGTCAAGACCCGCTCAGCACTGGCCGCCGGAAGGCCTTCTCCACCTGCTCGCCCCACTTGGCCACAGTGCTCCTGTTTTATGGCACCGGCAGCTCAGCCTACATGCGGCCCACCGCCCGCTACTCCCCACTGCAAGGGCGCCTGGCTGCGTTCTTCCACTCCATCCTCACACCCAGCCTGAATCCTCTCATCTACAGCCTGAGGAACAAGGACATGAAGGGGCCCTGCATAAGCTCTACCTCCAGGTGGCATCTTGGAGCCAGAACCTGGACGTGGGGAACCGGCAAGGACTGAACTGTGTCCCCAGAAGATATCTGCTGTAAACCCTCTTAGACTTGTTGAAAGGAGCCCTGGTGGTCTGCGGTTAAGCACGGGGCTGCTAACCAAAGGCTATTGATTCAAGCTCACCCACCGTCTCCAGGGAGTAAGATTTGGTGACCTACTTCCATAAGGATGACAGCCGAGAAAATCCTCTGGAGAGGTTCTACTCACAACACTCAGGTCGTCTAAGTTGCCATCGATTTGATGACAACGTGTTTTGGTTACGTGCGCACCTTCCGCCTGGTATGACCCGGAATTCTAGACCCCCATAAAGACAGAAGGGTTCAGGATAAATCCCACGGTTTGTAGTAACGGCTCAGACACAGCAAGCTACGCTGATCATCGAGGGTAAGTTTTACGTCAGTGTGGGGAATTGTTAGGAGCTCTGGTGGCATAGGGCCTAAGGTATCTGACTACAACCCAGAAGGCTGCTGGTTCAAACCCCCAGCCACTCCTTGGAAGACTGTGCAATCTACCTCTGTGCAGATACCACTTCCGAAACCCAAGGAGGGGTGGCTATGAGTTGCGACCGATTCGAGGGCAGTGAGTCTCCCACCTGTGACAGTGATAAATGGCTCTGCCACCCATCGTGATCTTGGGATGACTGCCTTTGCTTTCAATCACATGTAATTAGCCCCGTGGCCGTGACGCAGCTTTCTGCACTGGCCACTGACCCATTTTGGGGTGAGTTTCCACTGGGCCGAAATCAAGGTGCCAGCAGGCCTGCACTAGCCCCATCTGCTCCCCCTCAGCCCCCACCTAGTAGTGGGGCACGGGGACCAGAAATCCCTGGTGAGTACAAGGCAGAGGGTGTGGCCCACAGCAGTACACAAGGCAAGATGATGCCTACGGACCAGACGGAGCCCACACATTCGGACGGTTCTCAGAGCTGTTCTTCTTAAAAAGTGTGGAAACTTCACATAAAAGTCCCAACTCTCTCAGCTGCTCTTGGAAAATCGAGAGTTGGTAGGCCTCTAATGGTCGTTGACCTTGTTGTTGTTGATTTGTGACTTAGGGGAGCCTGTGCGTCATGGAGTGGAGCTGCTCCCACGGTCTCCTGGGCTGTCACCTTTACAGAAGCAGATGGCCAGGCTTGTTTCCTCTGCAGCTGCTGGCTGGCTTTTCAACCGCCAACCTTTTGGTTCAAAGCCGAGCGCAAACTGTCTGCGCCACCAGGGACCTTCTGCTAGGCTCTTTACCTAAACCTACCAGACCCACTGCCGTGGACTTGATTCCGACCCACAGCGCCCCTAGAAGACAGAGTGGAACT